AGTCACCTTCACAAAATTGGAGGTAAGTTAGTTACCTAATGCAGTGTTTGCAGTGTTGGGTGTTGGGCAGGGAGGGATAGGCATCGATTTGCGCGCGGCTTAGAACAAAATTTTAAAACGATTTAAAAATTCTCATAAAAACGATAGAAAAGGTTAAAAATATTGTGTAACAGCGAAAAATTTTGTTTGTGTGCAGTGATTGAAGCCATCGCCGCTGGAAGGCCAAGCAGACCCGGCCCCTGCCGAACGCAGTTACCGGCAGAGCGAAGCGGAGCTGGCAACTCCGTTTGGCGGAAGGGCAGGCCTGCTTGTTTATGTTGCCTAACTGCACGCGAAGGTGTTCCTCGGTTTTTAATTTTCATCTGTATTTTTTTAGGCAGTTTACTGGGGATGACGGCGAGGATTTAGATGCAGATGATGACCCGGACTTGGACTCGACAGAACGGACAGAGGGCGACGAGCCCCAGGTTGACTCGGTTAGCGACATATTCGTCGGAGGGAGGGGAGTGGCGCCCCTGTCAGCCTTCCTCCCCACCGCCCATATGCGTGCAACCTCCTCACCCTGGTGGCAACGACGGACCTGGAGAAAGCTTTGGAGCGGCCTGGCTCGGTGAATACTGCTTGGGGTAACGTGATGAGCAAATGCAAGGCATTTTGGTCCAAGCAGAAGGGAAGTGTCGTCTTCAAGTACCCAGATTTGCTACGCTTTAAATTTTATCTCATTTTTCAAAAATGGAGATTTCTGAGGTAGCAAATCTGGGTACTAGGTGCTGCAGTAACGAACGCTATAATGCCGGATTCAGGTTTCAACGTAGATTAAAAATTTCATAATTATATTGCTCTATGGTGACTTTCTGACTCTGCAGGGTCGTTTTCCGATTTTACACCCAAAAGCCCATAAGGAAACCCATGTTAAAATGCAAAGACGTTGAGCGAGTGGTTCCCTGGGTCCGATCGGGACGAGCGGGGCGAATTTGGAATGCCCAGGGCATAGGTCATCTCGATCTTTCGGAACTAATCGCCGGTCTGATAATGTTTTCGCCGTGGGCCATCCTTACTGGTGCACGGAGCGTATAAAGCTTATGAAGCTAGTAATGACTGTGTAGTAATGTTTCTGTGTTCTATTGCTTTGAACATTTACAAAATGTTTGAAAAAAGAGCTGGTATTTGAAACCATGCAGGCATCCTAGACATTGAATTTATTAATGGTTTATGAATTCTGTGTGTAAACAATTTAAAATGATTCTTGAAGGGGAACCTATTGTCCACGTTTATCACAGACTTAAGCGACGAAATGGTTTCTTGGATGACGAAAAGTCTTAGCATGAGAGAAGGGCGCCCTGTTTCGTTTCGATAAGCAAAAGAGATGCATAAGTCATGTGATGCGTGACGCGTGAGCTAATATTTCCATAAGTATGCCCCGAACAGACTAAAAAATTGAGGATAGGCAAAGCAGAAATGGACGAGGGCAACTCTTTACCCAACATGAGCAAGGCTACGCTGCAGTGGTTTTTGAATGACATCGGCTTTGTTTACAGCCAGCGGAAGAGGAGGTCAGCACGTCTGGAGCGGACCGACTATTTTGACTGGCGGCAGATGCACAATTTGCGCGCAGAGAACAAGAACATTTTCTCACTTGGACGACGCTGACGCTTGTAGTAACACCGGGCAAACGACAAATACGCACGGCAAGACACCACAATTGCTTCAGCGCGTGAAGCCCACAGAGGAGTATTTACTGACCACTGGCCCAAAACAGACTCCAGGTAACGGTGGGAGGCTGATCGTGCACTTGGGTAATGAGGGCAGGTTAATAAAGGGGTGCAAGCTCATCTTTTTGAGGCCGGCAAGTCGGTGACTTTTGAGGACGGGACGAACCACGACGAAATGACAGGACAAATATTTGAAAAGTGGTGAAGGGCCATCATGGACCTCCTGGTTTTTCGTCATGCTTAATCCTTTGATAACTGCTATTCATGATTTAATTTCCAGTTGTAATTACTAATTATTTGTTATTTTTGAACCTTTAATGAATATCTTGCAAGCTCATTTTCTGGTAAATTAGTATTTCAATACCAAACTTGCAGCAATGATTCCTTTGCCGTTTCTAGCTAACTTTTCACTTGCCTATGAAACATTTAACAACACTTTTAACATTTATTAAATCAAAAATTTAATCAATCATCAATATTAATACACTTAAACAAAAAATCAATGGTTTCTGTTGCTCCTTGTCAACTATACCCCATCGATGAGCTTCAAGCAAGTTGTATTCAATCCGGCAACATCCATGCATGCACATGGGAGTGGAGAAAGAATTTTGGTGCTGTCTGCAAAGTCTGAGTCAGTTTTAAAAAATACTCCAGGCAAGATTGTTATGTGTGGTCTTTGAAACACTGAAAAGAATTTTAAAAGCGCCTTCTTGAGCAAAAGTAGTAATTTTTACTTACTTATTTTAAATATATATTACATAAACTCAGCTTCTGACAATTTGGCATGGTAGATTGAAAATAGGCGGGACATTCCATTAATTCTATTTGTATCTTTTGCAGGAACTGGTTCATGAGTTAAGGTTGAGAGGATACCACCAATGCACAATAAATGGCCACCCCATAGAATTGAGGAGGCATGAGATGTATCCTAGGTATTTTTGTAGTCCTTTAGCATACTTGATGACTCAGTTGCAATAGATATTTTAGATAGATTTTAAGGGAAACATCTGGAGGGTCGCCAGTGTGGAGGATCCGCCCTGAATATTTTATTACTTTTTATTTTTTTTTATTATAAAATTAGTTTTTAATGTTTACATACTAAAAGTCAAACAATAATGCTACTGTGTTTCTTTTGGGTACAGCAAGTGCAAGGTGGTATTTGTTTTTTCAAAAGCACACGCGACACAAATTTAAAGGACTGTGTATTAAAAGTGATTCACTTTGCACATTGCACTTGAACTTGCAATTGATGCATCGAAAGGGAATGCATTCACATTTTTGTTTGACATTTGATCTCCCCGATTTTAAGATACATTGATGTTCATGTATTATGAATTTGTGAATATGTTTAAATCAGATATGCTCAGTATGTGATAAAATCTCCGTGGGAGCTGGTGGAAATGTCAGTCAATGAATGGCAAGCGCAGTCCATCAGGAAAAGGAGGAGTTTGCTGAAAAACTTCATGAATGTAAGTATCAATGTGAAGAACTGTGAGACAGAAGGGTTTGGGACCAATAACAAGACTGTGTGGATTTCTTCCAGACATGTTACCCAGACTTCCGTTTTCATCTGTTGGCCAATGAGACATACAAGCAGACATTCAGTTTTGCAATGCGCTTGGGCTTCTGCCGGTTGGATGACGAGCAGCTGACTTCGTACAAGTAGATGGTATGTTCTGCTCATTGTATTACATGGATTTTTGGCTTCAGGCCTACGATCGTTATTGTTTTTTGTTTGATTTTTGAGAGGTGAGGTATATATTATGAACAAAGTACTTAAGAAGCTGGTAATAAGTTCATTTTTATTCTGCTCTGCATCTTTAACAAATATTAATTAAAAATTAATGCTGTATCACCTCAAGCAAATTAAAAGTTAACTTAAGAGCAGTAATCAAACATTTGTGATGATCACAAGATAAAATATGGCTTTTACACACTTATTCGTGTTTTCATCTTTACGGAATGTTGTTAACTGACGAATACATTTCACCCTGAAATTCATACCCATAGTTTTGAAGGTTACTTGATTCAGGGTAGCTGCAAAGTGCTCCCTCTGAGCTGCTGTTCCCTTGCTTCCAGAAAGGTAGTTGGGAGGTGGAATGTCATAGGACAGTGAAAATTTAGTCCTCCTTTTAGACACTGTGCGACCATACACTTGAGTGACCTTCAACTTCTTGAGCTGCTTTAAAAGGGCCTTTCCTACAGCATCCTGCGTAGAAAGAATTAGTAAATAAATATTGCAGCTTTTCCTTTCCTCAAGGAGATGAAATTAAAAAAATGGGATGCTTACATCAACAGCTAACTTGTCCATTGTTTTGGTCAAATTTTCTTCAGGTCTTTGTTTTTTTCAACAGGGTCGTCATCCAACGGGTGGAGCTGGTGAAACAGAAAGTCAAGTGAGTAAGCAAACGATTGGAGTAAGTGAGAGAAGGCGGTTTTTAGGCTGCGTTTCAACTCAGAGGTTGGGTTGGCGTTTGGCTACAAAGCGGTGGTGGGGGCGGGGGGCTGTGCACCAAAATTTTACGCTTTTGGGGTCAAAATTGTAATTTTCTTAAAATTTTAGGTTATTTTGACCCTGCTTACGTACCAAATCGATATGAACTCAGTGTAGTTTTGGGTGTTGTGCACCTAGGTTTTGGCCTTTTTTTTTTCCTCGGTCATTTGCTGAAGCACAGTTTTGTTTCAATTAGTTAAACAACATTGGAAAGTACTGTAGATAACATCCTCAGAAAATGTGTCTTCCCACAAAGAGAAGAATAGAATCAAACCAATATCATACCAAATTGAAAGCTAACCTTGGTCTTGAATAATATATGCTGGAAAACGATTTTTTGGGTGTATCAACCAGTAATAAATATTTCATAGAGAGAGAATTATATCCACCTAAAATAAAAATGTGTGTTGTTTTCCAGTGTTGTTTTCCCTATCCTCATTGCCCAGCTCAACCCTCAACAGCGAGATTATATCATACACATCAGCAATCATTTTGGTAACATAGACATAACAAATACTTTTTTGTTGCAGGAACAAAGAATTTACTATGGGAACCGAAATTCTGCTGCCACAACTAACGCGTCGCTATGGTAACATATGCCAGTGTTCTGGTTAATAAACGAGGATTTTTTCTTACAACAAACGCATTTGTTACCATAGCGACGCGTAAGTTGCGGCAGCAGAATTTTGCTTTCCATAGCAAATTCTTTGCTCCTGCAACTACAATTGTTTGTTACTATGTCCATGATAACTAAATCGTTAGTTCTGGGAACCAATTTCTTACTTCCGTGGACGAGTTCGACATCCATATCGCGGCGCTACAGGAGGTGCGGTGGCCCGGCACCGGCACATCCGCGGTGCGGACCTTACCTGACCGGCCCCCAACCCACATGCTATTCTTCAGTGGCAACCTGGACCCAGAGCACCGGCTCGGCACAGCCTGCATGGTGAGGCGGACCTAGTTGGGGCCGTCATCCTAGACGAAAAAGAAGAACAGGACCGTGGGACGGGGACAGGCTGTCTACCCTGTACTTACTTCAGGGCGCGCCCCCACAACCTGTACCCCATTAACGCACACGCACCCACGGAGGACAAGACTGCGGAGAAGGGCGCCTTCTACAACCTGCTCCGTAAAGCACAGCGGACAGCCCTCCGGGACGCCGCCCCCCGCCTCCTTGACGACTACAGTG